TTTAAAAGTAACTACAGAGTGACTTTGAAACACCAAATACCTTGCTAAAAAGAAAAAAAAAGTGCTTCCTTCAATAGTTCTATAACTGCATTTTACCTTTCTTGGTTTAATTCACCATTACCATCCCCCAGAAAATTGACTTTAAAACTGATAATACAGCAAATTACCATTCCACTCTGTCCACGACTGGCCCAATCCTGCCCTGATGAGTCCTCTGGGCTTTACATATTACTGGCTCTTCATCACAGACAGCTCATTGTTACATGGTTGTGATGAAACTGCACATGGGTGATGATGACACTGATCAGATAGCCTGCAGACAGGGTAACTGTCTATCAGAAGACCACCTTGTGGCTCAGTAAGAATTTAGAATATTAGGAATAGTAGGTCCAGATAGCTTATCAAAGGGAATCTTAACAAACAGAAGCAATATAGGCTGGGACATCCAAGTTTAAGTCAAACTGACAGGACCAGTATAGTATGGTCACCAACTTGAGCAATAGTTCCTTAAGGAGTTACATATATTCAAGAAGTCACACTCACTAAACACAAACTTCCCCATCTGAGAACCTCTGTTACATTTGCCAAAAGGTATCCTGCGAACTCTATAGTAACCTGTAACTTCCGTAAGATTTATGGAGATCTCTAATGGAGTTTTCTCTAAGAATTTCTGAACTCATTGTCTTCTGTCAGTTTGACTTTTATTTGCATTTAAAAAATCCATTGGAGGGAGGGGAGAAAATTAAGTAAAATTTAAATTTAAAAAATAATAAAAGTCCATGAAATAAAATAAGCAAATAAACAGACAAAACATCAGGGTGCCTTCTATCATGCGAGTGAAGATTTTCATTTTATTTACTAAGATATAATCAAAACATTGAGCCCTGTATTAACTCTTTTACTTAAACTGAAGATTGAACAAAAAAGTGAAAAGAGATGCAGCCTAAACAAAGGAGTAAAGCTTGCTAAGTGGCCATAAATATGAATAAAATGAACTGTTAATACTTTATTTTACCTGAGTGTGGCACTTCCTTAAACTTATCAGACATTCAGTGATCACTGAAGTTGTAGAAAATTCCAGTTTTG